ATATTTGTCATCACAAAAGTAACATGGCCCTTTTAGCCTACTTTCATCAAATTCATTATTACTAGGGAGCTTTCTTATTCTAAACACGGAATTACCATTTTGGAATTGAGTTGGTAAATGTAGTATGCCTTTTTGGTTATAGCGATTAGTATTGTTATAATTTAATTAAGATTTTTGGTTCATATTGTTTTAGTGTTTGAGGTAGATTTTTTGTAAAAGGTTAGAGAATTTAAGAATGGTTTTTCGTTGTAAGCGGTGAAAATCTAGTGTTGAATCTCTAAGGGTTATGTTAAAGGTTGGGGTTAATCTTTTTTTTTTTTGCTAAAGCAACTACTTCTTTAAAGGTTTTAGGTCTCATAACTTTCACTAATACTAATAATTCTAGTCATAAGCCCCATAAAAAATAGTAGATGATATAATCTTCTAGTAGGATTAATCAGTTAACAACATAAATAAACTTCTTAAGTAATGATTGAACAGTTTACGTTTACTTCAATCCCATTAGTTCTGCCATAGAAGTAGTAAACATCATCATACCAAAATGTATACTCATTTCCTTTATATAGTCTTTCTATTTAATCATTGATTTAACTCCATACATCCTTACAAAGAATTAATGCCACTCTAAAGTCTCCTCCTCTAGATGGATAACGACTAGGTTCACCTTAGCTTTCTTTAGTGCTTTATCCACTATAAGAAACCTTTCACACCTAAATATCCACCCTTCAAAATCTTCTCCAACAAATCTAGGAAACTTCATCCTAGACATTCAAGATCCCATATTGTTTCCTACGTAGTTATTATTCCCCAATCTATAATTCATACCGGTGGTAAGGTATCCATACCTAGGAACTTGATAGCCTCTATCATTAATTCCTTCAAATTCCTCTTTCATATTAACATTCATTCTATATGTTACTTCTTTATGTATTGGATTTTCTTTGCTAACTCTTTCAACTCTTTAATATCATGATCTTACTTGTACAACAACAAAATCGCACATTTGAGTAACTTCGGTGATTACCATTGTAACGATAGCAATTGATTCCTTTATTATTTTAGATCGGCATTTGCTTTTACCATGGTTAACCGAGCTTGTTTCACTATTTTACGGACGCGAGAATCGAGCTTTGATACCAATTGATGCAACTCCAATTCCTAATAAAGTGAGAAATAAGAAGATTGCAAGGAAAAATAATAAAAAACTATGAATTGTTATTCAAAATGAGTTGTAATCATGATTGTTGAATTGTAAAATGAAATCAATGAAACAATGCTTGAATAGCAACAATATCCTTGATTGGAAAAAAAAAAAGAAATATAGAGAGGAAGAATCGGAAGAACTAAAGAGAAAATGAGAAAAGATAATAAAGTAAGAATTTATGTTCACTTCACAACTGATTCTCACACACTCTCTTTGCTCTTTTTATTAGCTAACAAATTCAACTAATAACCCAACTAATCCAATTAACTGCTAACAACTTCATTTCAACTCTAGTTCTCTTTGCTTGCTAGGTTACCATTTGTCCATTTCATTTATCCGACTCATTTTCATACTACCGACTAATATAATTGTCCATCTCAACACCGAAGGGTTGCATCAATATAAGATTATTGGTAAAATATTTATTGGATTTTAAAGTGGATGGTAGTGCTTCAGGCAATCATGGGCGGACAAGGTATGGTGGTCTCTTTTGAAACGGTAGTCACAATTGATTTTTCTGGATTCTCTTGTCATGTTAGGATTGGCTAGATTGCTACTAATCCCTTGGTCGCTAGCTTTTAGGCATGGAGTTAATATGCCATGGGATTGATGCACCTAATTGTTGAATCATACTCTCTTAAAATAGTTCATATGGTCGAGAGGGTTAATTGTAGGGTGACTCATGGCTATTAGACCATTAATTGTTTGTGGTATATGAGAGTTGCTCAACAAGCCTTCAAATCGGTTGCATCATATTTATCGTCGCGATGACGGTTAGTATCCTTATTTTCCGACTCAATTTGGCTTTCATAAGGTTGAAGCAAAAATCACTTTGTTGGTTCCCTTCTTTTGGAGAATTTTACCATGTCTTACATCATTGCGAAACTAGAGATAATAATTATGAGAATCGTAGTATCTAGTATTTCTTATAATTGAGTTTTTAATAATTTAATATTTAAATTTTGTATACTGTATATTAAAATTTTATTTATTTTTCTATAACTGTCTACTTATTTTCACAATTGCATACTTATTTCTTGTAATCAAAATTAATACGTGGCAACGTTACTTGTCTAAGAAGACATCCCTTCTTTGAGGTTGCTTCTCTTCCCTTTGGAAGAAAGTCAGTTAGCTTTGTATTTGTCCATTTGAAATTATCCAAAGTACAAGGAGGAGATATCAAATATGCCACCAACAGGCTAATACGAGCACAAACTGAATAAATAAATAAAACCTTAAAACCGAAGCCCATACCAAACACAGCTTGAAATGTGTTGGGGGTTTGGTCTTAAAGGCTAGGAACCAGGCTTTTTCTTCGTTGGAGTTCATATGTTGCTGACCATGCCGAGCCACCAACCCTAAACCAAAATCTATACTTCGTGTTCTGTATTCAAAATTCAAATCAATCTCAGTCCTCTAAGAAATATTCTCAACGAATAAGTACTAAATCAACCTAAATCCATAAATTTAAAACTTCCATTTCATTCAAATTTCATCTAGGGGGTCGTTTGTTCCTAGCTCCCCTTGTTTCTGTCAAACTTCAGTTTTACTTTTTTTTTTAGCCCCATATCTTATGCTTTACCTCTTCAATGTTATTCTCACAAATTCCTTAACTTTTCCTTATTCCGCTATGAATTGATTTAAAGAAAAAGAAAGTTATCACTCATATATCCCTCTTTTAGGTACAAACTTTTAATCTTTCAGTTCTTATAATTTTAATTATGTGTTATTTAAGTGCTTTAATTCATTTTTATTAATTAAATAGACTGTGTTGTTGTACTTGTTTTCTAATCGAATCAATATAGTTCATTTAGATTTGTGATTAAGTCTCCATCTAAAAAAAATTGTGATTAAGTCTTAGATACAGGAGCTTTCACATAGAACATATAACTGTATATATTAAATTATTTTCCAATTCGTTATATGTTACTTTATTTTATTTTTTTTAAACCGAAGTCTTAGTAGTCGCGAAAAAAAACCTAAAAATTATATTTTTAATATTTGTGTTTATCTTTTTATAAGAGAAAAAATAAATTGTGTTTGTATTTATTTGTGTCAATTTATGTCCATCTATATTTTTATGTACCTATTTCTTAGATTCTCCCATCCCCACCCTTACCGGGTTTATTTTCAAGAGTAAAATTCTAATTCTACCCAGCAGCTAATTGATGTAGTAAAAAAATTGGCTTAAATTTCCACCTTGAAAGTCATTACATTAAGCTATACACATAAAAATTGTTAGCAAAATATGTGTTTTGGTGTCAAGCATTTGCATTTATCAATTACCATTCTTAATTACATGAATTAGTTATTTTTCTCCTATTACGATTTTGATTTTGATGAGCTCTTTTATTTTATTTTTTATGCAATGAAAATGAAGTAAGCATTATCGGTTTTGAGGGGCCAAAAAGCTATAAAAAAAAACCCTTGATTGAACTAGTAAACAAATTTAAGGAAACGGAGCTTGTGATGTTGGTTGTATTAGGTAATCTATGCCAATAAAGTCAGAAAACCATAGTTGTCCAAATAAAAACATAAAATGCCATTTTTGTCAGTAATACGAATTAAGAATGTTAAAAAATAAAAAGCCAACTACATCTACACTTTATTAAAACCGTTCAAAAAAAGCGGAATAAGATAAAGTAGGATGACCCTCAAATTGGAAAGAATATAAAAGAAAGAGGATAAGAATTTAGACTTTGTTGTCACATTGGAACATATACCCTACGAAACACAACATAGAAATCTTCTCTCTTAGATTTTCTAATATATATATTTTTTAATTAAAACCAAAAGGAAAAATTACTACAAATCCGTCTCTCTCATTTTTAGGGTTTTCTCTCTCCTCTCTCATCTCTCATCTATCTTCTCTCTTCTCTATTCTCTCTCTCTCTCTCTCTCTTTCAGGTTTCTCTCTCCTCTCTCTTCTTTGTCTCTCTTTCTCTCTCCAGCGGCAAAATCCTAAAGAGACGTTTACACCCCCAAGTAAGTTTTCTCTCTCTTATCTCTCTCTCTCTTTCTCTCTCTCTGTTTTTTTTCCTTTCAAATTTGAATATATGGGACCTGTACTAGGAAACCTGCCTTACATGCTCACATATGTACATTACTATGCTGATTTGCTTTGTTATTTATTTGCTGAATGCAGAGATCTATTGCTATTCAAAGTCAAAAGTTTGAAAATAAAGATTTCCCATTTTTGAAATTTGAATGAATATTGTAGATCTGGAAATGGGCTTTTGTTTGCGTCGTCAGAAGAAATTGGAAACTGGGAAGTGATTTGAAAACTGGAAACTTTTCCTTTTGTTAATGAGTTTTTTTTCCCCATTTTTGTCTATGGGAATCTTAAAAATCTTCCTTTTTTTAGATCTGGAGGAAATGAAATTTTTCGCACAATTATTTTTCATTTCAGATTCTTTTCGTTTTTGTTTGGATTCAAATGTCTGGCATTGTGAATGGTATTTGCTGCTAATTTCTTTGCATATGCTTCTTTTTGCTGATAATTCTTTGGATCTGTAGATTTGGGAATTTTGATTCATGAAAAACTTTGTCATTGAATTTTATACTTATCGGTGCAAAAAGCTAGTAATGCCTTTATCACTTGAAGACTCTTTGATAGCTTCTATAATCAGGATGAGAATGCTGCTGATGAGTCGTCCCATAACATATCAAAAGTTGATCATTTTGACAGAAGCTGATATCAGTATTACAATGTTGTTAGTGGTTATTTTTAAAAATATAAAAGAAAAACTGATTTTTTTCCTTATCTTCGCTGCATTGCTGACTATGTGTAGCTTTCATGGATGATGATGCATTGAACATGCGCAATTGGGGTTATTATGAACCGTCATATAAGGAACCACTAGGTCTCCAGCTAATGCCGGCCATGGTAGACCGTGATATGAAGCATTTTGTGCCCAGGCGTGATCCGAATAACATCATGGTTGGTGCCAATGGAGCCTACCATCCACGTGATTGTGTGGTTTCGGATGCCCCTATGCATATGAATTATATGAGGGATAGTTGGATAAACCGGGAGAAGTATTTAAATATGTTACCCCCAAATCCTAATTTTGTTGTTCTCCCGGAAACTTCGGGAGCTCACTCCATGCAAATGTTACAGCCACCTAACTCATCAAGGGATGAGAGGGTGAATAGCATTGAGGAGCCCAGTGTCAGTAAGGAAGGTAGCCAGTTGAAGAAAAGACAGGTTGGGGGTACTGCCCCCAAAACTCCCAAAGCTAAGAAACCCAGGAAGCCGAAGGATGGTAACAATAACACAGTTCAGCGTGTGAAGCCAGCTAAGAAAAGCGTGGATGTCGTCATAAATGGGATTGATATGGACATTTCAGGTATCCCAATTCCAGTGTGCTCATGTACTGGAACTCCTCAGCAATGTTATAGATGGGGCTGTGGAGGATGGCAGTCTGCATGTTGCACCACAAATGTCTCGATGTATCCTCTGCCAATGAGTACCAAAAGACGGGGTGCAAGGATAGCTGGAAGGAAAATGAGTCAGGGTGCATTTAAGAAGGTATTGGAGAAACTCGCAGCTGAAGGTTATAACTTTGCTAACCCAATTGATCTAAGGGCTCACTGGGCAAGACATGGAACCAACAAGTTTGTCACGATCAGGTAGATTTGCAGTGTTGGTACCAATAATGGGATTCCCATTACCCGTGGCCTGCTTCTCTTGTATATATATCTGTGGCCTCTTGCGGATATCTATCTGGTCCTCTGTAGTTCAAGAATTTTCAGCCATGATTCATGTTTTTGAAATTCGGACATCTAGTCTTCGGAATTGTTGTTAACTTTTCTTTTTTGTTTGTGTTATAAAGGCAACCGGTAACTTCTGGCCACCTGGATGTAGGATGTGGGTGAGTTTACTTTTGTTGGGTTGGATTTTGGACAGCACCTTTTATGCAGTTAATTTAATTTTATTAAAGATTATTAATTGAATTCTCCTTTCATTGTATCTAATTGTTTTCTTTTTAGTAGCTTCAGATTATTCTATGACTTTGGTTTAATGTCATATCTTCTTCTTACAGAGAAGGCGAGAATTTGACATAGATAAATATGGAATTAATTGTCCTTTTTATTTCATAAATGTGCGACTTACCGAATTACTTCTGGGATTATAAACATTACTTCTCGTTTCTCAGATAGCATAGCATTAAGATGCATGTATTTTGTCAGGAATGGTAGTTTCTCAAAATCTGGTTGGTGACTCTTCATGCTATACATGCATTTTTGTGATTTTGTGTGGTATGCTTAAGTTCTGTCTCTGTACTTGCAAGATATAAATTTTCTGATTGATATGTATGTTATGGAATTGTTCTTGGATAATTTTTTATGTACATCTTTGCCATATGATTGCAAGTATCTTTTCATTTCTTTTATTTTTTCAGAATAGATTGCAAGTATTTATTGTTTGCTTGTGAATATGAGCTTTTTTAATTATTCTTGGCACTGTGATGAGCTTCTTATATACCTGTACTTTATATGGAGAAGTATCATTTTGTTATACAATCATAGATAGCACTTTTGATTTCGCTTACATTTCTACAGTATTCTTTTATAAAACTTGCGAGTGTGATTTTGGTAGGTTTTTTTTAAAAAAAAACTGTTCTTATTTTTATTTTTGTTTTTTCAAAGATCTATGTCCTTATATTTTCCCTAGTGCCGGCTTTTCTGTTTTCAAATATGATGATTTCTTAATAATTTAATACAAGAGGATGTGCCATCGTGCATATTCCTTATTTTCAGGACTGATGTTTCAAGAACTTTGATCTCATGGTCTCTCATCTTATATTTTTATGTGATTGTAGTGATTTATAGTTGATTTTAGCTTCTTACAGAGTTTAGAAATGGACAAGTTATCATATGTTTCATATATATATATATATATGTGTGTGTGTATAGGTGTGCATGGAATGACATACTCGGAGATAGGTAGATAGATGTTTATGGGTGATGATCACCTGAGAGGGGCGCTGCTCTTCTTTTGAAGATGTCAGATAATGCATAGAAGTTTCTTTCCATCTCATTATGATATGTTAAGAAGGAGTAACATATGAAACTTTGATGATATCCTCCTTCCTGTTTTCCAACTAAATTTTTCCATCAAGAATAGTGTTGTGGCCTTTTCTTTCACAAATTACCACCTGCTTTCATTGGAAAATCTTGAATTAAGAGCTTTCTTAGCTTTAAGAAATAATGTTCATTTAACCCTCTTTTTTTTTTTTTTTTGGTCTAATTCTCAACAATATGACTTACTATTTTAATTCATCATATGTTTCAATTTGTTCTTCTATATGGAAATTCATTGTGTGGTGTGTCATGGGAAATCCTTTCTATAATGTGGTTGGAAAGGAGGTAGGAAGAGTTTGTGAGGTTGTAGAGATAGAGATGATTTTGATGTACCTCTTGGTGAAAGAGGTGCAAAATGGAAATTAAGAAAAAAGCTTTTCCGGCGGCTAATGCGATTAAAATTTTGTTCTTGATGAGTAATGTGAATGATACGTCATTCATCTATGAGTACTCGGCCGGATTCGCTGTGGGATGCTGTCATAAGCCCAACTAGAGTATTGTTATTTATTTAGGGCCTAAGGTCGAGCCTGCATGGCTAACTTATTTTATTTTCAACTCTTATCTATTTATGTTTTTTTTTTTTCCCCAAACACTCGCTTATTGTTGCCCTTTTATTTATTTATTTTATATATTTCGAAACAAGAACGTGAAAATTTATAGAAAATATCTTTTTTTATTAATATTTTTTAATTCTTTGTTTGGAAAAGCATCTACTTATATATATATATATAATTTCTAATCAAGGTTTAAAAAAAGATATTAAATGATATTCTAAAGATATAACTAATTAAAAACTTAGCCTTTAATGATGTTAAAAAAAGAAAACACTTATTTTATTTTCTTTATATTAGTAAACTAGTACTAATATACCGAAAATACTATTCACTAAAAGAAAAATTCATCGACAGAATGTTTCGGATATTCCATTGGTAATAAAGTTACCGATATTTTTTTTTTTTTTTGTCGAAAATTCATTTGTTGGTAAATTAGTACTGACATAAGTTCTCACATAGATTATTCCGTTAGAAAATTTTCAAACTTTTATTATTTAATAAAATATAATTTTTGTTGCTAATTACGTCAATTTTTTTTAAAAAAATAAATTTCGAGAGCATACCATTATAGCAATTAAAAAAGAAGAAGAAGATAGTTTAAAGTAATAGTCTGCAAATATGAATAATAGAGTGGCGTTATTCCTACTCATTCTATTATCTATGATTTTAAGGAGTAATCAAACTAACCTTTTTCTTTTTCTTTTTCTTTTTCTTTTTCTTTTTTTTCTGTTTGAAAAGAAGTCCCATGATATTAAATGTAAATAAAAAATTTTAAACCTAACATTAAATAAAATCAAGTAAATATTAACTTTAAAAATCTTATATAAAACTTAATGTCATCGATATTCATTTCTTTTTGTTTTGAATTTTTATTTAAATAGATAGATAATTCCAAGATGCTTTCTAAAATCTTCTCATTTTATCGTTATCTATGCTTCTTCTATACAAATATTGTCTTTATACTGCAAATATCATAAGAGGCTTATTAAGTACTATAATTTTTATTTTATTTGAAATAAATTTTCACTAAAAAACCATGCTTCATTTATGATTTAGAATATCTTGGAACTTTAATTTAAAAGAAATTACAAAGGTTAGTACATATATTGTCACTTCATTAAATTGTGGAATAGCACCATATTGAATAAAAATATTGTTAACTTGTTTAATGCAAAATAAGTGCATGCTTTTCTAAGTTGAAAAAAGAGAAATACCTTTCTCTTAAAACTTTTTTTTCCTTTGCATCGAAAGCACTTGGTTGAATGTAAGAGAGTTGGTTTGAACAAAAATGGTTCTAGTTGGTTAAACAAATGATTTCATATTTAAATTTTTATGTAGGTAAAAAACTCTTTGAAAAGTCGTGTACACTTATGCATCCGATAGAATAATAAATAATTAATGTGAGTTTTTGAGTTTGGAATACCTTAATAATCCAAAAAAAAAAAAAACACTTTGTTGACTTATTTTTCATAATGTCATTACTAAAAAAACTAAAGTAAAACATGGTTTTATTATTCATTTTTTACTATTTGAAATACTATTCACATACTCACAAATCATTATTACTTTCACCATTCATGTCTTTTTTTTTAGCACTTTGGTCCTCAATTTTTCTATACTTATTTTTTTTTTCAATTTTAAACTTTAATTGTATTGTGATTTAGTCCCACTTTGTTTTAATATTTTCTTTTAATTATTTTAATTATTTAAAATTTACTACTTTAATTTTTTATTTTTTTAATATAGTCATATGTTATTAATATTATGATCATATTATAATAATATTATGTTTCTACACTAAGCATTTACTATTTATTTATTAATTAAATAATTAAAATAATATTTTGGCTTAACCACTTAATGATTATATATATATAATTAAATTTTTTTTTCAAAAACTGATATTCTCACCAACATTAAATAAAAAATATATTTTTTTTTCAATTCTATATAAGCTTTTAATAATTGTTATTAAAATTTCAAACTTTAATTGTATTGTGATTTGATCTCTTTTTTTTTTAGTGTTTTCTTTTAACTATTTTTATTATTTAAAATTTATATCTTTAATTTGTCATTTTTTTAATATAGTGATATGTTATTATTATTATAATAATATTATTTTTCTACACTAAGCATTTACAATTTATTTATTTATTTTTGAATTAAATAATTAAAATAATATTTTGGCTTAACCACTCAATGATTCAAATTAATATAGTTTTTTATTTTAATATTATTCATTCTTTTGTAAATAAATATATAAAACTTAAATTCATATTTTTTCAAAAACCGATATTCTCATCAACATTAAATAAAAAAAATATTTGTTCAATTCTATGTAAGCTTTTAATAGTTTTTATCTATGCTTTTCGACACAATCTTATGAAATACTAAAGCCTTTTAAAAAAAATTATTTAATTTTTTTTAGTTAATAATCCATGGATTAACAAGGATAAATCTTTTTTTCTAAAGGAAAAATTATGAAAAACACAAATAAGAAATTTTTAAATACAAAAGTTTTTATTAAATAATTTTTTTTACTTTTGATTTCATATATTTTTCTAAACGATTTTATATATTTTATCCAACCCGGAACATAGCACGGGTAAAAAAACGAGTTAAACACTAGAAAAATATGGAAGGGTTTTGCAAACAAATGGGGCCTTAAAGAAAGAAATTCCAAGTCCTAACCAATGCAAATAAGATTAAGGCACTAGGAGCAAAAACTTTTATGTGCTCGATATTAGAGTCGAGTTCGGCTCAAGGCATAGGCCATTAAGGTCTATGCCTAGGGCCCCCATAAAAGGAGGGCCTCAATTAAAATTTTACCCTAAACCTACACCCTAAAAGAATGAGATAAATTAAAAGTTGTAGCCTCCACTTTTGCTTACGGAAAAATTTCAGAAAAATATTTGTGAGTGAAACAATTTTTAGATCTATAAATTTTTTTATTATATTCCTTTCTCTCTCCAAACAATCGGGGATCTCTTATAAAACCTTTTCCAATTAGCTTGGTAGAAAAATCTGAAAGTAATTTTTTTTTAATTTATGCAAAAAAAATTATGTATATAAATCATATAATATTTTATTTTTTTCTCAATTTTTTTTTATTTTCTCGGGTGATTCTCTCCGGGTTTACTTGATTAGGCGTGGCAAGCAAATATAATCAAGTGTCAAAGTTTCTTATTTTTTTATAATTATATTTTAATTTTATTATTTGAATAAAATGTCTACTAGAAAGTATGAATCTGGATATGAAAAACGTAAGAAAAAAGAAAGGTAGAAGAACTAATTCAATCCCAAAAAGATGCACTTGATAGATTTGTTACTAATATTAAACCTCAAATACTAGAAGAACAAGATAAAGATTTAAATGAAAATATAGTTGAAAATTGTGAAGAAAAATTTGAAGATAACAATTCAAATTTACCAAAAAGTAATAAAGAATATGATGAAAATTTAGAAGATGATGTTTCAATCAATAAAAGTGAAAATGTTAATGATGAAGATGCAACAATAATTAAAAATATTTATGATCCGGCACAATGGAAAAATTTAGACTCAAAAGCTGATTGATTTATTAGTTGAGAAAGGTCCAATTAGAGAAATTTTAGATTTTTCAAGAGATAAAAACTCTAGACATTTTTCTACGAGTTCATTACATTCGAAAATTACCAAATGGAGAAAAACATGATAGAAAATGGCTAGTATATTCAAAAGAGTTAGATAAAGTGTTTTGTTATTGTTGTATATATTCATTATTTTCTTCTTCTACAAAAAGATGAAAAATTTTGCAATATCATGTTTCTAATTTGACACTTAAGCCATTATCACAAACACGTTGGAAAAGTCGTATTGAAAATGTAAAAGCAATTACATTTCAAGCTCGGCAAATAAAAGATGCTTTATATCAATTAGCGAGAAACTAGTGAGGATCCTAAAACAAAAAGTGACGCTATTTCTTTAGCAACATATGAGATTGAAAATTTTGAATTTCTATTAGGCATGATTATTTGGTATGATATGTTGTTTGTTGTTAATACGGTTAGTAAATATTTACAATCTAAAGATATGGATATTGCTCTTGCAATAGACCACTTGAAAGGTCTTATTTCTTTTTTTAAAAGCTATAGAGAAAATGGGTTTACATCTTCTATGATCTTGGCTCGGGAAATTGCAGAGCAAATGAATATAGAACCAAAATTTCGTGAAAAGCGAACAATAAGAAGAAAGAAACAATTTGATGAAATTGAAAATGAAGACATGAAATTATCTATTGAAGAATCTTTTAGAATTAATTATTTTACATATTTAGTTAATCATGCGATTTCCTCTCTTCAAAATAGGTTTGAACAATTTAAAATATATGAAGATAATTTTGGTTTTCTTTATAGTATAGAAAAATTAAAATCACTCGATGATGATATTTTGAAAAAAAATTGTTTAAATCTTGAAAACTTTCTAAAGCATGATATGCTTTTTGATATTGATGGTTTAGATTTATTTTTAGAATTAAAAAAGTTTTAAAAGAAATTATAACTATGGAAATGAAAACACCACTTACCGTACTAAATTTTATAAAAAAAAAGGTAAATTCTTTTCCAAATGCATGGATAACATATAGAATACTATTAATTATCCTCGTTATTGTAGCTTCAATTGAAAGAAGTTTTTCAAAATTAAAATTAATAAAATCTTATTTACGTTCAACTATTTAACAAGAAGTATTAAGTAATTTGGCTATATTATCAATTGAAATAGATTTGCTTTGTAAACTTGAATACACAAATTTAATTAGAGATTTTACATCTCGAGAAAGCAAGAAAAATAAATTTTAAATAATGTTTAATATTTATTTGTTTTAATAAAGAGTCTCTAAAATATTATTTTACCTAGGACCACATATATTATAAAACCGGTTCTGATTGGAGTCTATTAATTTTTTATTTAATCAATTGGATGTTACAAAATCATTTCGGATTTTGATAGCTTTTCGCCAGTATGATTCATTCGTCCTCTGAACAACTAAGCAATTTTCCTAACATTGAAGCATTAATGGTTAGGGCAGAGCTGACGTTTTCCTCTTTAATATAAACGGTATATGCATTGTGCAAAATTAATGATTTGAATTAAAACTCTATATTGATGTAATAGAATATGAAATATTAACTTTTGAGAGCTATCGTTGAAGTATATATTTATACAAATTCTTCAGTTTTAATTCTTGATTTAATGGTGAATGGTTTGTGATTTTGGTCAGATTGTGCACAATTGTGCATCAGGTTTGCCACCTCTATCGCTGTTTTTTGTAGTTTGGAGGTGAATCTTCTTCTCATACTTTAGCTTCTGAGCTTTCTGACGAAATCTTACTCGTTTTCTTAAATATTGCTCTGTCTTGTAATAAAATTAGTGGGTTCAAATTTCATTGCTAGAACATTAAGATTTTAAAATTTTATTGTAATAAAAGAACCATTGCGGCTCCTCAATCCAAGGAGATTTATCTAGAGATATCTGCTACTGAATACAAGAACATGAAGATTATAAAATTTTATTTCTTAAAATATTATGGTATTAAATATTCCGTATGATGAGAACTAATTAAGTGTTTTCTTTTGGGAGCAGAACTATTTTCTACAATCATGATCAAAGAGCTCAGAAGCCAGAAGTAGGAGTACCATGATAAAATAAAATATTCCTCACAAATATTACATAGGAATTTACTCTTCATCTTTGCTTCTACGTACCTTCTCGGATTGCTTTCTTCTAGACACCCACCAATAAATAACATTCACAAACTTGAGAAGATTATGATGATTGGTATAAGAAATGAAATCTCAAGTTTGAATGTATATGAGTTCTGTCATTATTCTCATAAAAATAAAAAACTGAAAAAAACTAATATGCAACTAACAAAATTTGTTTAGAAAAAATTAAAGGAAAAAAAAAAAGCAAGTATAAAAAGAACTGAACATTCTTTTTTTTTTTAATAACAAAAATCGACTCCATTGATTGATGAAGCTCGCTGGGGGGAATATTGCGAATCCCCGCTAACCCAATACTAATAGAAACTAATAAAATCTGGTATATCTTGTTGTTGATAAACGGGTACAATGGGTAGAAAATTTGGAGGATTCTGTGCGGAAGAAGTAGTTGCTCTAAAATGAGAGATTTCATGATTTGCTTGATGATTGATGTTCACGTCTTCCTCAAAAACCTCCCATTTGTCTGTTATTATTGTCTTCAATCGACTGTTTCCTTCTTTCCCTTTAACAATATTGGCAACATCTTCTCTCACCACTATTGCTTTATTATCAATATCCTCATTATTAGTAGAATTTTTGTAACCTGTTGCTTCAGGAACTCCATTGATTATACGCTCAAGATCTTTAATATCTGCTTCTGGGATTTGTGTGACTTTAGGAACTTCCAAAGCGTTAAAGACACCGAAATCCCTGCAAAATTCAAAATATTTAGCAAGGGCCTCACCTTGAACTTTTTCCTTTTGAAGAATCTTAAATGCCATGGTTGCTTCAAGTTTCCCAGCTGAATATATCCTCATGAGAACACTTGCAATCCCTTTGCATATTCTGCTGTAAACATCGAATATTTCAATGATCACACAATCCATGGCCTCACTAATTAGAGCCTTTTTCATGTTCTCTGCCTGTGGCTTAATTTGGAGCAACATGTCAAGCAAAGATTGCCAGTTTTTCAACTTTACAAGCTCCTGCACCATTGGTTCTTCTGTTTGGTTCTGTTGTACGTACAACAAGGCAGATCTTTGGTCTAAAAAACAGAAATAAGATCGAACAAAGAGGTTGAAGCCCCACATTTTTGCTGGTTTTGAGTGTCCATCCGTGAAGTTTGATAGATCAAATGGCAACCTTCCGATCCTTTGTACGGCTGGGGTCTTACAACAGAAAACACCATGCATTAGCATCAATCCCTTGATGGCCACCACCCAGCTCCTTGTCTTCTCCATCCGTGTAGTGAGAGCCCATATCAAGGGCTTCAGGCTCACGGGAGATGCGCGTATCCATGCAAAGACCCTCTGGGCATTCCTGTAATCCACGTAGCTGTCATCATGGCTCGTGGCCTTGATGATTGCTGCCTCTAGATCAGAGTTCGGATACCGACTTTGCCTGGATAGGGCGATGGCCAATATGCTGTTTTGGTCTTTGAGAGCTCCGGCAGCCCTCCTCCACAGCTTCATTATTTCCTGTTCTATTGTCCCAGCAATTTGTGTATCGAGGGCCTTTCCCTATTTTAGGTTGTTCCTTGTGGTTCTTCCTTCTTTTCCTTTGTGATTGGCTGGTTAGCTATTTCGGATCGACAACTGGACATGTGGAGATGACAAATAGACTGTCATTTGCTGTGGCCAGCCTATAAAACTCTTAGTTTAGTTTTTTTTTTTCAAAAAAAAAAAAAAATGTAATGCTGTGCCATTAGTGTTACTTAAGCTAATTATAATTTATCAGTCGCGGAGAGGAAATTTTGGTGGTTCTAAGAGTTGGTCTAATTTGACTTTGTCATGGTTGTTGAGTCGTTATGGCCGTGCACAATATTGTCTCGTACTCGTAATGTGCTTTTTCTATTTTGGGACGACGGTGTCGTGCCAACAAGGAAAAGGTGCATTTACAGGTCCGGCCGCCTGGTTTGTTGCACCAACTTGTTTTGGAGGGTTACTCTATAATAATGCCTTAGGCTTTTTAACAAAGAACAAAGACCCCCGTTTGTATGATTAGCAAAATTAAAACAAAGAAAAATAAATTATATATATGAGCTATGCACATTAATTAAAAAGAAATTAATTCTAACCACTCAAAATGCAATACAAGGCACGTTACATCTATTTTTATTTTATTTTCTTTTCTTGTCATTTGTCCTAAATTATTGAATTGAATAGGCTTTAAAAATTCGTTGGTCCTTTTTTTTTTTTTTTCAATTTTCCATGTTAAGCTTTGGTTTTTTTTTTTATTGGTTTTCTTTTTCTTTTTTCAAAAAATATGAAAATTACTTCCTCTAACTCTCTAATTTTATATTTTTATTTTTTTCTCATGAATCACAATGGTTAAATTATGTTTAGACTTATCTTAACATCCTATTAAACATTAATTAAGAAACTAATTAAAATCAAAGTCGCTAAATAATAAAATTTAAGTTTGAATTAAATTAGCCTTGAAATTTGAATCCACAACTTATTTTATGTAGTTTAAAACTTCTCATGACAAAAAACATTCATCAATAAATTTTTATTAACAAAAAGTAAAATAAAAACTTACAAAATTGTAAGTGTGATCAAACTAATCATAACGGAAATATTCTAAACAAAAGAACTAATTATAAAGAAATTAATTTATTTAAGGACAACTAATTAAATTGTGTAAGTATCTAAAATTTTCGTTAAAATAATTTATGCTTTCATTTGAGTTGTAAATATATTTATTTATATACGATTTCATGAATCTGAGACGGCGTACATTCATTAAAGAAGTTTGTAATTAATTCTGGGCCTAAGCTCAAGGGAGTGGATTTAGCCCAACGTTAGTATCATCATCCTAGTTCCAGTTGTAGAATCAAAGTCTTGCATGCGTCCATCAGTCCAAGCCTTCATTTCTTTTGTGCACTGGAATATGCCTTGACATGGAATTGGTATGGTTTGTGGTCTTTCTAATTTCTATTTTCGTCTCATGGCATCTTGGCATCCACATGAGAATCAAGAAGAAGGAACATTACAAGCAGTTGTAAATGAGCCAACAAGCTTACGCAAGAAGATGGCTAAGGGATAAACAATCAGTCCCCACCAACCCTCTTTTTTTCTTTTTTTTCAGTTAAGAGAGAAGAAAACGGCATGGTGTCAGGGCTAAAGCATTGCATATACATACAACTTGCCTACTTTTACAAACATTGGAAGAAACAAACGTCTAGTAAAAGTATCTGAATTAAGGCAGGCCGCTATCTCGTGCTTTCCGCTCAGTTTGCTTTTGTTTTTGCTTTCACAGTTCATGTAATTTCTTACAATGAGCATCTATATCTTGGCTCTAGATATCACAGCTCATGCATGCATGTGTCTCTTGCATTTTCCATCTTCTGCAAAACCAAGAAAAGCAAAAAAGTGGTAGATTGTAAGATTTTCAACCAAAACTGCCGCTGTTCTTAAAAGCAAGAAAGTGAAAAAAAATAAAAACTGTTTCTCGTTCATGGAGAGAGAGACAAAGATATAGCCATATAGGGACCCAATAAAGGAAGGAAAAGAGGTAAATAAACAAGTAACAAAATCAAGAAAAGTAGTAAATGGTGGGAATCTTTCTTCGTCTTTCACTGTGTATGAGATCCCACATTGCCGATGCCACCACTCTCGCCTCGGTACTACTCCTTTTCATGCTCTTTTTCTTTTTCTTTTTCTTTCTTTCACCTTTACATTCTCTCTCTAAAACGCATACACAAAGCTAGATTTTTTATGCCTCTGGCATGAGCATATGAACGTTTCTCTATGGGTTTGTCATGTGGGGAGGATGATTTTGTAAGTACATTAATCTCTCTCCTTTTTCTTGCTTAACAAATTGAGTGATTGGCAGTTGATTTCATCACCTCCATGCCTTTCTTATGCTTAATATTCTGCAAGATATCTCTACTTTATTGAGCGTATATTGCTATATCATCACCATGCTAATCGAAGTCAGTTAATATTTCATTTTCTTAGGGAAAGAATGAAAGTCATCTAGTTCCATTAATAGTTGAGAGCAGAGAGACCAGAATCAGGGGTGGCTATATGGATTTACAGCATCTTCATCATGCAGTTGAATTCGATGCCGAATTCTGGCCAGTTGAACACCCAGTGGAACCACAGGATGAAGATCGTCCTGTGAAATGCCCAATGCCAACTTCTTCTGTTATAAAGGTAAAAATACGTCCCATTGTTTTAACTCTTGCAAGAAGAAAACACTCATTTAGATGCTTTCATTCTGACTCCATAATTATATGCTACATCTTTAAGAATGGAAGGTCGCGTGAGGAGAGCTTGGGGAAGAGAGCGGATGAACTACCACTACCAGCAGTTATGAACAAACAAGGCATTGTTGTGGTGGCTGCAGAGCCCCAGGTCCGAGCAGTGCGTAAAAGGCACCATACTCTGACCCGTGTGGACCACCGTGTAATAGCACCTAATTTAACAAGAATGGCTTCTCTTCCTGCTTTACCAACTCAGAACGTCACCATTTTTCAAATGCTTCAAGAATTTGACTAGTTTTATCAGTATTAACGAGGTATATAGAATAAATTAGGAATCCCACATTTCTGCTCCATCCATCTTTAATATCTTCTTTTCAATCCATTGGTGCTTTGGAGTGGTAAAGGAATTCTTCATGATTTTACATTTCGGGTCAATAGGCAAAGAAATTTCATAGATATGCAGTATAATGAGCACTCATATTGCACTATGCTTTTGATTTTTATATATTTCTGTATAATATCGTTCAGCCTATTTGTAGTTTTTAAAAAAATATATATATTTATTTCTTTCTTTCTTTTTGAAAAAAAGGATAAATATATGGTTCCAGGGCATACGAAAAGATCCAGTCATAACTTAACTAGCTTCTTATGAATCCATTGTTAATCCGCAGTCGCCTAGGGTAAGGGAATGTAGTGTAAATTTGCTTGCATGTAACCAGAACATACAGCCCATGAGCATATTTTCATGCCCCTGAATCTTGAAGATTTCTCTATGGTAGTACCAAGATTAAAACTCGACTTGCAAAGATCATCAACTGGATGCTACTAGCAAACTAGCCTGCGATTCAGAATCTAAGAACATCCAGTACGATCTTCAATTTATCAATAGAATCTTTGCAGCATGCCTATAATCACGAACGGTGATAAACCTATAGTGTTATCCTTCAGGCTTTTTTTTTTTTTTTGCCTCAATTGATTTATTAACTTGGGCGTACTGCTTTTAACTTTCACCCAGATCCTTATGGGTGAAACGACGGCCGCTAAATAATTTACTATCGGTATACCATATTGGAACAAAGGAAAATCGATATGATAGTATAGTCCATTTACAAGATGCTGCAATGGATGATGGAACGTTTAAATTTGCAAGGAAAGGCTGGAGAATAAACCAAACAGACGATCGTGAAATTCTTCCACTAGTAGCAACAGATAATTATGATTAAAAAACATCGAAAAAGCTGTCTAGTAGTTAATGTTTGACACATTATGAGAGCCTGACTAACCGGAATGAAATTTGCACCATTTTCAAACCAAGCCGGTAATAATCATGAGGCTAAAGAGGTGCGACTTCTTTCCAAAGTTCACACACGCACGCCAAAAAAAAGGCATAAAAGGAAGACGAAAAAATCATTAAATGTTGGACACATTCCCTTTAATCATTAATCACTTCTGTAACAAACTATACCACAATCATTATTTCTACAGTAGTCCAAAATGTCACCACAAGTCCGTAACCAACTAGGCACTCGCCCTAGCTCAAAGGCAAGGATATGTTCCCGACATCACACTATTTCATTGATCTTCTCTTGTGATAAATCTGAAGATGGACCGAGCTAGCAACATTATCCAGCAAAGTGGTAAAGATAAAACAAGACAAATAATCATTTGATTCCGATATTCAAAATTTATTTAATAAGAAAAAAAGAAAGATATCCAAGTGGCATGTGATTGATTTTCAGCAATGTCTAGGTCTGAGCTACAAGAAGACACCATTGACATTTTTTTGCTGAGCTCCTGAAAGCTTTTAGGAGGTAGATAAAATAACTCAACCCTGATTGTTACTAAACTGGTGAGGTACGTTTTTTTGATCCAGCAAGTTTTGTCCAGATTTAAAAAAGTACATTTATTCTATAATAACGCAAATCCCTTACAACTTGCTAATCCATGCTTCTGCTCGAGTACAGCTAAAATCTGGCTAAAAAAATCAGTCATTTTTTCCCCAGATGCCATAAGTAACGCCCAGCTATACTGTGTCCTAGGGGGATCCAGAGCTAAAGATTTCCAGTGATGTGAACCTCACCAAAAAAAAGATTACAACGAATTTTAAGGCATGAGAAACAATCTAAGCTTATCCTCATACCTTTGCTGTTAAGTTGGGCTAGAATTACAGCAACAAAATGCATGTTCATTCCACAAGTGAGATGCAAAGGGCAACAGCCATCCCCAGCACTAGTGAGGTTATGTGAACTGCTGAAGTTCTCAATGTTGACTTGCCGTTATTCATTTCTGCAAGGACTCCAGCAACAGCAATGTACACAAATCCACCTGCGGTAAATCCCTATAGAAAGCAGGAACCCTTTAGTTTCACTTTATATCGCCACAAAAAAAGGGTAAACATATTCCAAAAAAGTAACTTAACCTCAATCAAAGATGAATGTCCTGGATCTTTTCCCCAGAGCAAAGCCTAGAACAAAAGCAGTCACTTTCAGTTGCCTTTTTTTCTGGTAAATCAAAATTATAAAGGATTGGCATTGACCTGGCACTATGAAGACAGTACTCACCAACACGGTTCCTGCTAATGCCAGCAATGCTGAGAGGAAGTTAAAGAAAAGAGCTTTAGGTACACTGAAACCAGATCTTACCAGAATACCAAAATCTCCTATCTGCAGAAAAGGGTAGACAACTTCCATAAGTATATAATAACCTAAAAATGCAAGTGAAATAAAGGGAGACAAGAATTTACTGGCATAAGTACAATGGCCTCTTGCTTTAGCAACTAAATAGTATCAAGTTTGTGCTGCATTCTTGTAACTCTTAGTTAAAAGTAAAATACAGAAGGTATAGGGGCCACAAACAGTGTCTACAACAAGCCAAACAACTATTACCTCATCCATGATCAATTTGAAAAATGAAAACAAATTAAAATTGAATCCATCCGGTTTAACTCATGATGCAGTTGCAGCAGTTATGCATTTGCAAAAACAGACCACTTGGCCTTCCCATTTACATACCTCAGCCGGGGTCTGTTGAGCTGTGTGTGTGTGTGTGTGTGTGTGTGTGTGTGTGTGTGTGTGTGTGTGTGTGTGTAGAGAGAGAGAGAGAGAGAGAGAGAGAGCTTGACGAGGAAAGATGTTCAATGGACAAATAAGCTTAGCTAGGATATCAAGGCAAGAAACAAAGGATCACAATTATGCTAATAAACATGGCAAAATTAAAATTTAACCTGTCTAGAATCGAAAAGTAAGAATAATATTTTGACAAGGGATAGATTTCCACAATCATATTCTGTGTGTACGTGGAAAGATAGCATTTCTAAAATGTTATGAGGGTGACGGACATTTCAAATATCTGATTCTGGTAACAATCCGCCAGGCAGGGTAGTGGATCCTACGAGCCAGTTTTGATTTCCCCCACCATATTCTTTGGGATCAGTGCAACTTAAGGAAAACAAAATCATAGTTGTGCATCTTCCTAACATTGAATTCCATTACCTTGAAAAAAAAAAAAAGCATCAGAATAGACTCACACCTCTTGTGGAAGCTCATGTGCCAGCAAAAAAAGAGTTCTAGACCATCCACCAACAGATCCATAAAGCAGAAATGCACTTCCCAGAGCCATTCCATCCGTAAAATTGTGCTGCAAAATCAACACATTATTTCTAACACATAAAAACCTCTCTTCAGAGTAGCCATATGAATGAAAAAAATATATTTTTTTCTTTTTTCTGTGAAATAATTTAAACAGATCAACAGTTCTCCAGGCAAAGTGAAACCTCAAAAAACCGAAAGGAAAGCATACTTTACCACACCATCAGAGAAGAGATTAAGATAACCAAACACTAGATTTGATGATGACTGAGTAGGCTCTATTTCATTCAATGATCTAATATCTTTTGTAGAGCCATCCACAGCATCAGCATCTGATTTATTATCCTTGACATCATGCATTGTCTTTCTCTGCAGAATATAACCGCATCAGATTGACGTTCATTTCATTAATCAACAGAAAATATATGCACAACAAATAAATAGTAATTAATTTCTAAGTTCATATCATTAAAAATATTAAAAACAGAAAATCGGCATCAATTATTAGTAGAATTCTAAGCACCACGTGACCTAAAAAACAATCTTGTGTCATTTGTCCATCCTGTAAGCATTTGAACTTTTACCAGCAACTTTTCTCTAGCATGTTCTCTTGAAACTCTATCACCTCAACTATTGGGTTCAAACTAGGACCATAAAGTGGCTACCAACTCTACCAGATTCAGGGAAGGTCTCTGACTGCCTGTAAATGCAGAATTAATGACAATATGCTATTTTCAAGGATTACCTTCCGAAGAAGAGATTCATTTGGAGTAAAGTTAGACTCATTTGAAGTGTCATCCAAAACTTCATCAGACCCTTCCCCTTCAATTTCCTTGGAAGATTTTGATTGTTGGTTATCATGAACATCACAGTCATCTTTCAGTTTCTCGTCGCCCTTGTGATGATGGTGGTGATGACCATGGTTCCATGCATTAGCTCCGGTAGAATTGTCTTCAACATACCTCACCACCTTCTCTACAAGCAAAAAGAGTACAATACCAGCTGCGATAACCAATACACCACAATAAGAATTCAAGGTACTGTAACCCAATCTGCAAAACCTGGTGATAATAAGAATAAAAATCAAAAAATAAAACCAACCAGAAAAGTTATCAATGAGTTTACACTGCAAAATGCTGTAATGCAAACAGGATAGGAATTCAATAAGACATTAGATTGCATAGGCTATTTCACAAAGTTTTCGATTTTTCTGGCCAGTAGAACTGTTTTTCATCAATATAAGCAACTGATCAAAAATTTTTAAATACACGTTATGAATAGAAACAAGGCCGCTTGAGGAGGGTTCTCATGCAGAGTCAGAATCTCATCTAACTAATGATGGTAATCAGCAACAAAATGAGCAACACTTTCTTACACTCCACATGCATGTTTGTAGAGTAGTTGATCTTCAGGAGTAAGAACCATTTTAGCACATATAGGATCTGCCATAAAATGATATTCAAGAGCAAGTTCAGATCCTTTGGCAGTTACGTCAAAGAATATAAATAGATACGGTCCACAGAGGAGAAGTGAGCACAGTTTGGGTATCCCCTGCACGTCTATCTGATGGTTCTACCACCTCTTGTTACTTCTGTAATTATCATGTACTATTTCCAACACTCCTTGAGGGGGAAAAACAAAGACCTGCATCTGCTGCCATTTCAAGTGTCTGTGCACATGTCTGAGTGTGTGCTGTGAAAGAATATAGCAGGTACCAGTGCAGAGGACTTACATTATGCATTTTATTACTTACCCAAAATTGATAATCCAACAGAAAGATCTTTCAAAGAATGTGAATGCGAGTGCCCATGCTCATCTTCAGCATGAGCACGATGAAAATGGTCTGCATGATGATGATCGTGAGAATGTGAGTGTTCTCCACCTGCAAGACAGGATTTATTAATTATACAAAACGAACAGAATAACTCCTGAAATTTGAAAAAGGCTGCAATGCAAATCCAATTTGTCTGTGTAATGCAAAAAACTTCAAATTTGATGACACTGATATCACTTCTGTCCTATACTTTATTCACTATTGGCAATCCAATATTTCAAAGAAATACCACTTAATTCATTCGCATGCACGAAAAATAGTATTAAATTTCAGATGTTATCCCACTTATATTAATACGTCTTTCTTAATCACATAATGGTTGATGGTACATTGAACTTTCAAATCGCAAAAAAATATTGGAACAATTAAAGAAGTACAAGATAGAAAAATAAAAATATGGAAAGGAGGGAGTGCATATTGTTGCCAATTCAATGAGAAAAAAGAAAGAGTTGGCTCTCCAATAACAATTTGAAATGTGACGCAGAAGCTTTAAATTATTTATTTTATTTATTTTTTATGTTTTGTTTTAGCAAGGAGTTGTGTGACTAGCATGTGACCTTTTTAAAGATATTTGGATGACTGGGATAGGAAGATTTAGAAGTTTAAACTATTAGATTCTGTAAATCAGATTTAAATCGTATCAATGCTTTCATTACTTAAAAACTCGAGGTTTTCTTAAACCCTCATTTATAGACCTAACCCCAAATTCTGTCCTGGTATCTAACCTTAACTCAGCAGCTATATTGTGTTTTTCTGCCCACCCTACATCAAATGGTCACATGCTAGTCAAATGACTCTAGGCTAAGATAAAACATAAGGTAGGTGAAAAAAAAAAAAGATAAAATCTCCCGCGACAAAATGAACTGGAGGGGACCTTCCAATAAAAAATTTGATCACCTAGTTACCTCACATAATATGTTCACATTCAATGTGATAAGATAGAAACATAAGGTTCAATAAAAAAAGAATCTGAGCATTGTAGATACCAAGCAAGACAGAAAAATACTAGGCCAGTTCAAGCCTCGTGACTTCTGACTGTACTTATGAGTTACTTCCAAGTTGCTATTTTCATCTCTATGTACCCTACAAAGGTAAGAAAACTAAACAAATGCATGTTAAATACTCAAGAAAACAGAATTATAAAGGTCGCATCACTTCAACATGACTTCTCATGATAAAACTTCAAAATAGGCTCCTGAAAACAACTAAAGCTAGCTGCACCGCAAAGTAATCCACCTTGACTGATTTGATGGCCAAAGGAGATTCAAAAATATACTATTACAGGTGGCAAAGTGAGCACCCTAAAGTAAGAGTTATACTCTTGGTAGCCATTGGATTTCAAAGAGGGCCAAGTCAGCAGCTGCCAAATCATTTATGCAAAGATTCTCAGGATCAGGCTGCCCTCAGGACATATAACCACATCTTAAGAAAACATAGGAAACATACAGCCTGAAATCATTTTGAGGCAGCGGAAGTCACATGAAACTCCTGTGATGATACCAAAAATGAGGCGGACTAGGATCTTTAAAGTGTTCTAAATCATCAGTTACAAGTTAATGACTATGGAGGCACAGACAAGAGTACAGAAACAGCATCCAATCAAGATCATACCAAATGCATGCGGTAATTGATGAAGAAATGCATCCCCTAACATAGCTCCTGCCTGCAAATATAGTAAAGTTGATCAAAATGAGCGGAACCATAATAGATAAACCTAGAAGAAAGAAATGCATCCATTTATATTTAAGTGCACAGACAACTCGATTTGAAAGTTAGAGACATATGGCAAGAGATATTTAACTAAGGACGTACAAATGACCAGGAGATCTTCAATGAAGGATACCACATGTAAATTCATTGAAGTGATATTACATTTGAAAGCTGCACCGAAAACAAATCATAAAATGGCACTCGGCAACAAGTTTCTCATATAACACACAAGTAACAGTAAAACTGATGTTTATGTAACGAGAAACTTGAAATGGTATCCTCTCAGCTGATCCCTGTAACTGTCAATCAAGATTAGAAGCCCACATTCAACTTATTAAGGAGGTTATGGTGTCTGGCATTACTATCATTTACCAACCAAAGCCCTCAGCCCCTCCCCCAACAACAAAAAGAATTTCTGATTATACTTCACTAAACATTTTGATTTGTATTAGAGTTAAACAAACAATAAAAGTTTCCCTAAATGAACAAAACGGTGTCAATGATGAGAACAGAGAATAAATGGGAGAACAGGTGATGATAAGATTGAAAATAGATCAGATCCAAGCATCAACGATACCAACTATCTAAAATATATAAATACAGGCAACTAACGTGAATCATAACTATAATCACCAATAAGAAAAGGCAATGATAGAAGCAAACGATAAGTAGCAGCAATAGAAGGGAACAAAACAGTGGGTCCAGATTCCAGACAATCCAAGCACTCAACGGGCAATAAACATCCAATTTATAGACTAGGATTTAAGAAAATTAAAAAGGCACGGTTGAAGAATCTCATCACCCCAAATAAAGCCAATGAATCAACAACTCCCTTAGATGGTTTTCCTTTTACTGCAATAAAACAACAGAATATAGTTTCATTCATCAAGGTAAACATCCAAAAGTTTTAAGGCATCATTTCTTGTAAAGAGAAAAAATATAAATAAATAAAGAACTGAAGCCAGGAAATGAGTTCATCAGTAAGCATTGACAATCAAGTTACTTACTGAATATGACTGGCAAGATAATCAGGCAGATAAGGGAAGCCAAGCTCACCAAAAGTGAGCACCCCAACGCATGTATCCAAAGACCTGGAAAGAAGAGAGAGAGAGAGAGAGAGAGAGAGAGGACCTATTAAAGGCATCCAAACCTTCAAATGGACATAAAAAGTCACAGTTTTACATTTACTTTCCTTTTCAGTTTTAAATTCATTTTTCTTTTATTGCATTTTCTCAGCAGCCAAACAGCAGTGTCACTCAGCACAATTTCATTAAGCTTAAAAAAAAATCAAAGGAAAATAATACCTAAACCAGAGAGCTTCAAATCGTGGTCGTGGTCGTGGTCCTGGTGATGGTGGTGTAAGTTCCCAAACCCGTAGAGCTTCATATCCTCCTCCTCCGCTAATTCCTCCGGCAGCTTCGATTCAACCACTCCACCATGCTCACGGTGATCATGATGTCCGTGACCACAACCATGGTGGTGGTCGTGTTCGTGGTGTCCATGTGAATGTTGATGCACTGGCGATGTGCAGAATTCATTGCCGACACTTAGATCCGGGCAAAATACGAGCAGTAAAAACAAATCTAACAAGATGCGTTTTCGTTTATGCTCCATTTTTGCAAGAGACAAGAAAGAAATCAGAGTGAGTGAGTAGTACTTGACGCACTGGTGAAATAATTTTAAAGTAAAAGGAAAAACTGCTAGGGATTTAATTTTTGGCTTCGAGGATTAAGAATGGCGGCGGTTGCAGGTGCCTTCAATGGTGATGAAACAGACTATACAAAGGAAAAGTACGATTATCCCGATTATGATTCCGAATGTCACTACATCCATTTCCTTCTCTCTCTCTCTCTCTCTCTCTCTCTCTCTCTCTCTTTTATTCTCTCTTCTCCCCCATTACTCTGATTTTAATTTTTTATAACTTTCTGTGTTGTCTCACTGTCTGATCTATACAAGTTTACTCTATATTGTATCATTTTTTTGGCATTATCCAATTTTCTACAAGGGCTCATTTTCTTCAGACATTGTTGCTGCTTAATTTCTTTTTTTATTTTTCCGTTTATCGCTTTAAAGATAATGTGTATCGTTCGTTATACGTGTAAAGAGCTGCATTGCGAATCTTCATTAATTCTGATATATTACCATGTCAGTATCGATCCTAGCATAAATCTTTCTAAACCATTGGCCTTCCAGAAAAAGTTTTGACAACGAATAGTTATATTTTCCGAAATGCTTTTTTAATTAAAAATTACTGAAATCTTAGTAACCCAAATATTTATAATAGCAATAGTTTAAAGACAGTTATCATGGTCAAAATAATAATAATAATAATAATAATAAAGACTGTTATACAACTTGTGCTTCAAAAAGAGGAAAATAATGCTTCCTTTTTTAACCTACTTAGCAATTAGCATTCATCTGTGTAGCAAAACCCACCGTATTATCATGCAACCTTAAATAAATCAAGCCACGACACCCAATTTAAATAATAATTCAACAAACACCAATAAGATTCGTTTTCAAAAGTTGAATGCTTAACTTGTAAATATAGATAAAACAGACTCCGAGTAATAAATGAAATATACGTTTAACTGATTTATTATGGGGTGATTTTGTAAGTTATTATAAAAAATTTAAAAGAAACAAAACAGACTCCTTGTAATATATGAAATATATTTTGAACCAATTTATTATGGTATGATTTTGTAAGTTATTATAAAAAATTTAAAAAGAAATTTTTTTTTCTTTTGATTCATAGAAGTTTTGGATTATATAATGTAAAATAAATTAGAATCAAACCTGTTATATATATAACAATGCACAATCCTAGATTATATCAAGAGAGAAATTTTTAAAAGGTTAAAAACAAATCCAAATAAGATGGGTTATCCACCAAATGGGACCCAACCAAACGTGGACTTCACTAAAAGTGGGTCGGTCACATACGGATACATAGAAAACCCATCCCAAACCATTGCCATCCCAACCGCCGTTCTATTTACAATGGTGGCTTTTAAATAGCCCTTGCTAATTCATTGACTAACACACGAACAGAGCATTGTCCTTTTACAAAACATTTTCACTTTATTTCTCTATATCACAATTCACAGCCAATCCAATCGCTGATTTAGTGCAAATGCTCTAAATAGTCATTGAGGTGGTTCTAGTTCATCGCAGCTAAGGAATAAATTGTGCATTACTGATGAACCAACTGAAAATGCCAGACCATCGTCTTGGTACAAATAATACCTTCATCAACTTCAGATTTCAAACTATAAGAATGAATCCATGCGAGGTTCCTATTTGCAACTAAGAATTAACACCGATATTATACATTAAGGGAGATTTTGCAACAAAAGCTTTTCCTCCCTCGTAGACACTGTAAACTAGCGTCACCCTATTTGCAACTAGTCAACCAACAAGCTACAGACACAGAGGTTGAAGTAAAAAAGGTACTGTAAAGAAAGGCATACTGAAGAAACTCCACAGAAGAAACACAAACGGGACAAACTCCATAGAAGACAGAGACTTTTTATTCCTTGCGTCAAGTATACTATAGCATCACAAAGTTCCTACAATATGCATTCTCCAAAGATACCAAGGGTCCTACATCAAATGATAAACCATCACACTGGAATACATATCTACACATTCACAAAGCACAAGCAAAACCCACAAAACGTGGTCAGTACTACTATAAACTAACACATGGGCTGTATGGTCGAACGAGAACCGATGTTAACAAGTACTTCCAAACTATTATCTCTCCCCTTCCACAAGCTGATATTCTTCAGAGAAAATGGCATCCCAGTTGACTCCTCAACGTCAGTAACCACTTTCCAAGTACTCCTAACAATTCAGAATCATAGACTAGTGTACATCTGTTTCGTATTCACAAAGTTCCACAGCTGTAATTGAAGTTTTCAGTCATTGAACTTCTACAAGGTCACGTATTCCTGCATGGGAACTATTATAGAATTAATGGTTTAATCAACCAAGATGGAGACAAAACTTAACTTGCAAATGGTTTTAGGGTCAAGACAAGACATGCAAAACTAAAAGTTTCCTTTATGCCTTTGCACGACATTTGCATGCATGAGTAGTATGCCAGCACTCATCTTTTTGAAATATTGTGCAAATGCTTTTCCTTAACTATCAATTTTCTATAATCTATATTAGGTTGCCACAAAGGATAGAAGCACAGGAGTCAAAAGAAACAAAATCAGAGGGCAAGGCTAAAGAGAGAGAAAATACCATTCCAGGTCATTTAACTTAACCCTGAGGAGGAGAGCCAGGCTCAGAACCACAAACAGATGCAAATGACATCGTATCTTCTTTTGATATGGCTACGAAGTTCAACGGTGCAGTAGATAACCTCCTAGTTTCCTTGAAATAACCGTTTTGACGTCCAGAAAAGGATCGAGGTGTGAGCAGCTCAGGAGTTGCACTTCCAAACGAGTTCCTACGAGGTGTGGGAGGCATAGAACCATTTCCATTTGCACGATGACCATTTGGCTTCCTAAAACTGTTAGTTTTCCGTGGGCTAGGTTTAGATCCATACATGGCTTCCTTCTCTGTTAGCAGTAGATCTTGGAGCTTCTTTTGGTCCTACGAAATGAAAAAATCAACTGTCAACATATCACTGCTCGCTCATTACTGAATATAGCAATTTGATGAGGACGTATTTTGCAGTCAATCTAAATGGTTAATCTTTTCTTGATGGTGACAAATTACAGGTCAAAATAACAAGAAAAAAACCGATAGTCATGTTTTCTATTTACAAAACCAATTAGTGAGTGAAACGCCAAGGAATTCAATGATGCCATTAATATATCAGCATACAGACATCGATTACCCTGTATCTCTTTTTCTCCTCTTCTCTCTGTTGTCTGGTAAGTTTGTAATCCTCCAGTATAGATACCAATCTTACCTGCAGAGCGCAACAACTCAATTGTAGGAAAGCAATAATGCCAAATATATATATATATATATATATATATATATATATAGAGAGAGAGAGAGAGAGAGAGAGAGAGAGAGAGAGAGGGAGGGAGAGACAGCACTTCGAATAAAACACTCACCCCATCATAGAGAAATAACATCTTCTTTTCATCTTCCCAAGCTAGGGTTTTGTTTATCAGATTGTCAACCATTGCTGCAAAGTGTACACCATTAGCTCTGAAAGAACTGCAGATTCAGAGAAAGGGTAGCATAGTCAAATAAATCAGTACCTGGAATTTTGCTTGCGGTCACTCTAGCTCGTTCTGCACGTTTAAGGTTGATGTGTGCACCTCTTCCAGCACTGTACCTGTTGGTGTCCTGAAATTTAAAAACAGATTTCTTAATGCCTATGGATTACAAAACTACTCATGGTTCAGTAATTTGAATCAAACTAACTTCTAAGCTATACTGAATAATACAAAGACAACTAAAATGCTTTGTTATACTAGAAAACTATAGCTATATGAACTAAAGAACTGGACCATTATATGTTCAGGTACCATACTGCCGAGCAAGAAGGACAACAAACATGAAAACCAATTAACAGGTGCACACAAAAGAAAACGAAAAATCTTCATATACTTGATTGTAGTCTTCAAGCCAGTTTTCCTCTTCGCATGCAGAAAGCCATCGGTCTATCCTATCCATAATTTCTTTTCGGCTAATAGCTTCCTCTTTAGCTCTGACTATCTGGGTTTCAATGTTTACCAAAAGTTCAGAAGGATTAACTAAACCTGTACAAAAACAGTAAGGTAAGGTTTAATAATTAGCATTCCTTGCCATGTGTTAAATAAAAAATTGACCAATAAAATAAACTGTGAAAACAAGAATATATGTACCAGAATCTATTAATGCCTTGGATTTCTCAGGATCTGTGCTTGTATCAGGTTCTATATGAGTCATTTTGCATATATCCTCCAATTCTGATCTCCTTTTCATTACTAATTCTTTCATTCTGCTCGCTTTCAACTTAGTGAGCCTCTCCACTTCTGCCGATGCCTGCCACAAGAACAAGTAAATTCAAGGATGTACTTTCCAATTGAGAACAAATAACAGATTAAAAGACTTCCAAACCTGTTCAATTATCTCTGTTGATAGAAGAACTGGTTCGGCTTCAGATTCAGCCGATCCAATAACAGAAGTAATTCTAAAAAACTTGTTTTTCTCTTCTTGTGGTGAGTCCATCAAATTCCAGAGCTCAAATAATGATGCTGCAATATCTTTCAGCTGCATTTTCAAGCGGTTTTTCACTTCAGTCCGGTAAATGAAAAATTAAATACTAAAATATGTATGTAACTGCATTACCTTTTGGATTCGAGCTTTTCTTTCCAACTTTAACGTGCGAATGGCCTGTTCTAGACCTTCCAGTGTGCTGTTGCTTATATTCGTAGATTGTTCCTGGTGTGTTCCATGCAAGCTTGGATGCACGTCACTAACTGTCTTGCCAAAATCTAACCCAAGCACACCACAGAGAGAATGCACCTCATTCACATACTCAAAGACCTTGTGAAGGCGGTCAGACTGCAAAAACAGAGAGAAGTATGCTCTTGAAGTATCATAGTAAGATTGGCATTTTGCAATGATTCATTTCAGACCTGTCCTAAATTTTGAAGACACCAACAAGATTCTACACAAGCATACAAAAGGTTCCAATAATTAATCAATCATGTCTACCAAATTTCTCTTGTAAGTCTTACGATGTGTTCAGAGACAACAATCAGCCAAAATAAAACTAATGCCATATTGTGAGGTAATGAAATAATGACAGGAATCATGCCAAACATGTCAGTTTTTACATTATGCTCAGTATTTTCTAGGCAACCAACAAGTCACCTCTTCCAACAAAATTTGTCAGCAAAGGCAAAAATGGCAAAACTTTGTTAAGTAACTGATCGACGATCAATGGAAAATTTACAATATATTGGTCTTAAGAAAATAACAAATTATATCTTAGGTTATTTCTTACTTAGAAAATCGTTTTACCTCTTATACAATAGAACATATCTAATGTTATAGGATTGTCGAATTGATTGATAATAGAGGTATTTGTTTTTCTCGCTATTGATGTTCTTCTCCGTATCTCTACTTTCTAACCCTCTATGTCTCTAACCTTTCATCCCTACTCTCTTTCCTAATTCCTCTCTTTCTATCCTCCTCCCACATCAGTCACTGATCTGACAACCTTTTCAATGATGTGAATATGCTGCAGTTATACACCAATTTGAGCATCAGATTGCCATGGACACAAAAAATGATAAATCATATAATAATGCTAGCACGCACTTAGAACTTCATTACCAATCTGTACTCTTAATTACCATACCTTCTCTTTCTGAAGGGTCCGAAGATGTGTTTGATATTCGCTAAGCTTTCTTAAGGACAAATCCTGCTCTTCTAGAGTTAAAGAACTCATCAGTGCGTTGTTGAGACTATTATATTCAGATATCTCGCCGTTGATTTTATCAATTTGTGCCTTAATCTCCACAAATTGCTTTATCCGTTCTTCTTTCTTCATCCTCAGATCTTCTACCACTGGTGTAACAGATGCAAGTTTTTCCTTCAATGATGTAGACCTCTTCTCTGTTTGAATCTGAAAATTTTTACAAGTCAGGTGAGCAAGTGATCAACTGAAGGCACGTGCTCATGATCAAAAAAGAAAATGATGCTTCCTAGTTTGCTTCAGTGTTGAAACTTGCAGCGCTTACAGGCAAAGAGCATATGTTAACTTACAAGAGCACACACATAAACCAATTATGGGACAAAGATGGAGGAACAAGAAATACAAATAAGCATTACTAGTTCAATGAAACTAACCTCTTAGTCTCAAATTTAAAGAGCATATGTTAACTTACAAGAGCACACACATAAACCAATTATGGGACAAAGATGGAGGAACAAGAAATACAAATAAGCATTACTAGTTCAATGAAACTAACCTCTTAGTCTCAAATTTAAAGAGCATATGTTAACTTACAAGAGCACACACATAAACCAATTATGGGACAAAGATGGAGGAACAAGAAATACAAATAAGCATTACTAGTTCAATGAAACTAACCTCTTAGTCTCAAATTTCTCAGATAACAAACTAGATAATCGCACCAAGAAATAATAACGGAGGGAATAAAGAGATGGACAAACAAATTTCTTTTTTTTTTATAAAATAAAATATTATTGGGAACAAATGAATGCACAATATGACAATTTTTTTTCTCTTAAAAATCTAATCTTTGTCCTCTGGCAGGAGCTGCAATCAAGTTGCTGCCAATGTGACCATTTAAGCCAATGATAAAAAGATATATCTCAACATATTCTGTCATATTAGTAATTTTTTTTTACATTAAAGTTGTAATTCCATGCTTCATGGTATCCTAAGGTTCAGGTTGCTTAATAATGACGGGGGATATGAGATAAGTAACATAGGAGAAGCTCTTTGGGTAAATACAGGTTTGGTCCCCTGAGACCCCTAGAAATCATGTAAGGATGACTTCATTCATGCCTCATTCAACAGTAATTACAGCAAAGCATTACAAAGTTAGGTTTACTTGGGAAGAAAAGCTTGCAAATGCAGCTATCCTGTACAATGTAAATAAAATTTACAAACAACCACCATGACAACTTAATTTGGTGAAATCTTTACCGGAGAATGAATGTTAAGCTCTCCAAGAGCAGCCATAAGTGTTGCAAGTTCGGCTTCCTTAGCTGCAACAGACTGATGAAGTCGTGCTTTGGTATTGGCAGCCTCCTCAACCTTTCTCCGGTAAACTTCCAAACACTCTCTCTCCAACTCCAGTAGCAAGCGATCCTTTTCCGCTTCACTCTCGCCAATGTCAGTCCATATTTGCTGCTTAGAAAACAATAAAGCCAGTAAATCTATTGAAATGGAAGTTGCACCTCTTTTTTTCTTTAGTGGAAATGTTAAGGACTTTCTATGTTAAAAGACAATAAGAAGGCCAGTTGACCGTGCAGAAATATTACTTTGTTGTCTTTTTCTTTTTTCTATTGTGATACAGAGGCAACCAAGAAAAAAATGATATACAGAGAAGGTCCCAATCAAATAAGAAAAACAACAAATCTCCCTTCAAGTAATTAAATTCAAGGAATTAAAACAAATTACAATGAACTACTACTATTCCTCATCAAAACAATCCAACATATTGTTCCTTACAAAATCCCAAAAAACAAATTACAATGCAATCACTTGATCAAATTCAATCAAAAGCATCAAAGTCACACCATCCCACACTGTATTGTTCCTTACAAAATCCCGAGAAAATATAGATAAGGTAAATCGCAACTTTCAGTAGAATCAGTAGAAGTTGAATGGGGTCATAGCAGATTTCCTAAAGAAATATGTCTAAATAAATACATTAGAACTTAACTGAAACCCCAAAACTCAGTCTGAACGATTCTTCTTCGGAACCAACAAAGAGACAAAAAAAAAACAAAAAAAAACAAGCAATAGATGTTATAACAATCGAAGTTTTATTAGAATAAAAAAAATAAAAAATGAAAGTTTCATAAATCGATCAAAATTTAGGAGAGGCCCAGTTAACTTCAAGAACCAGCAAACCCACTGATGAATTAGGAAACACATCACTACAGGTACCGAAAAATACACGCACAACAATACAACACAGTGAACCAATCGAAATTGAGATCAATTTACAACAAAATCTGTAGAAAAAAATAACAAATTTATAAAAACAAAAATCTTAAAAAGTGGGGGGAAAGTTCATTTAATTAACTGTTTGCACTAATTAAATAGTGCTGCAATTTTTTAAGAAAAAAGGAGTTCAAGCTCTAGGGAACAGATCACTATTGCTACTTAAAAGAGACCTAATTCTTAGCTCTAATAGACCCATTATGATACACTAATAAAAGCAGCAATGAATGCTCTCTCTTTTACCAGAACAAAACACTACAACTTTCTCGAAAACTCATCATTACAAGTTGTAAAGTAAATTTCCAAGAAAAGAAAATGAAACCCACATTTTTTCTCTCCTCCTAAACATCATATTTTTGCAAACAACAAGAAGAAAAACTCCAATTAAAAAAAAAGACAGAGAGAAAGAAAGGTAAAAAAGGGTTAAAGAAAAAGACCTGAAGCTCTCTGAGCAAAGTATTGCAGCTACTGCTTGTAAACAAACTGGTAGGACTCCCAATAGCCAGCATTTCTACAAAAGTTTACCACTTGCTCTCTTTACTGAGTAGTCTCTCTCTTCCTAAGAAATCAAGCAAGAAATGCAGAGTTAAACACCAAAAAGAGACTCTGTAGCCATAAAAAACAAATGGACCTCAAACACTACAGCTTCTCTCAAGAACAGAGGTCAAGAAGTCAAGACCCTCCAGAAAAAAAATCCAAGAAAATGAAGAAGTAGAAAGAAGCAAGTGCGTTTTACTTAAAAAGTCAAAAAGGAAACAAGAAACCAAGAGACATTGCTTCGAACAACCTTTAGCTTCCTCAGATCTAAAACCTCTAGTGACACCAACCTAGCTCCCTTTAAAACTCTTCCCTTCTTTGTCAAATTTAAAAAAAAAAAAATTGAGAGACCAAAAGGATCTCAAGAGGGTAAAAGTTTATTCAGGAGAAAGAAGATAATGATTGGCAATTAAGAAAAGAAGAGAGATTATTGTTATTATTATTACTACTAAGAAAGAACGAAAAAAGAAAAGGACCCAAGGCGAAAGATAATGTGTCTTTGGTGGAGGTTAGGCTAAAATGCGCTAATCAATAAAGAAAATAAAAAGCAAAAGCAAAACAGAAGCAGGTAAAGCTATAAGCTTGAGAAGAAGGACTGGCGGACTGACACAAGAAAGGAATCAGGCGTACATTAGCATCCAAATATATTTCCTTTCCAGTTCAGGGTTTCTTTGTACAAAAAGTGATAAAAGCAAAGCAAGTAAGTAGTGAGGAAGGACTATGAGTTGAATAATAATAATAATAATAAGAGTACACAGGTAACACAGCAACAGCACAGATAAAATAAATACAGTAATGTACAAAATTTAGTAGTGGGTGTTCTGTTTACTTTGTAACCTATCTGGATAATAACCAGCGTGGTATGCACGGTCCAATTAAGATTAAGGGTTGACTTTACGTGGAAAAGTTCGCGTGGTAAGGACGGTGCTGTTTCTGGTTACTGAGAACTGACTCTAGTAGCTGTCTTGATGTTGAAGGATGAAGGCCAAAATGGGCATACCCGGAAAAGAAAAGGTATAAAGTCCAAAATCAAATGCATACGCCCCGTCCCACTAATGAGATCAATGTTCAGATTTTATTTACACTTTATTTATCCATGGAAGACTCAAAATATTTTCTAATTTTTTTAAAATTAATAATAAAAAAAACTTTACTTTAACTAAATATTTTGCATCCCTCTATTAATTCTGTTCTCTTAGTTTTACAAGTAAAAAATGATAAATTGTGTTAAGGACATAGAATTAATTTATTGATTGTATTTGATCAAGTAAAAATTAAAATGTCAAATCTTCTATGGAATTTAAATGTTTTGTGTTTATTTATAAAAAAAATACTGTTATTTTTTATGTTTGTTCCTTTAAGAATTATAAAGCTGTTTGAAGTAGATTACTACTTTATCGTTTATTATTGTTATAGGATAAATTCTTATTCGTGTGTAATCAAGTGTGCTAATAAAAATTTCCAAAAAAGAAAAAATGTAGTCATAAAAGGATCCGAAAAGATATTATAATAAATTTTTATATAAAGTGGATAAAGCACCCATACATAGGTAAAAAATAACTAGATCATAGTATAGACAAAAAATTAATGCCGTAAAATAAATTTGATCCATTGTATAATTTTTTTAGGAGGTTTTTTGTGTCCATTAGTTGATGTACTAAAATAATATTTGCATTCAATTCTTTATATAAACGATAAGTTATGAACACTGATGTGACGTGAACGAGGACTTATAGTATAAAACGTTTTACAGATCCAGCAAAACTTTTTTACTATATTTTTTTCTTATAACATTACTTAACCACATTATAAATAAAAATAACATCATTTTCATTTTTAATCGTCACTTAACAGAACCTAATAAAAAAAATTTTAATACAGTCGTGAAATAAGTATTATTATCAAATCATGTAAAATTTTTATATTTTATGGTTACTTTTGTTTCTTTGCTTTATTCTTTTACCATATTCATTTTCTAACAATAAAATCTTAGGTGTTTTACTTGGAAAAAAGCTTGACAATTAACCTCAGTCGACCTGAAGACTAAATGGAATGGCCTCAGTGATTTTTGACACCAAAGTTTATTATAAAAGAAAAATTATCCCTACAGATTCTAAATTGATATAAAGTCACCATGGAATTTATTGTAATTGCTAAGGTTTTGATCGTACATTAATAGAGTATAAATTGTAAGCTTTGTTGGTTAAAGGATCCTTAGATGAAAACAAATTTTATCTATATTTTCTTGTACTTTCATCAATGTAATTTTTAGGAGCAGATAAAGTATAGATTTTTCAAATCGTTTTTGATGCTGTGATTGGTGGGCAGCAAAAAACCTTGCGGTTGAGATTCTCACAAAAACCAGCGACCCTTTTGTAATTGAATTTGATGGCATCTGATTGGCGGATTATTGACCTCCTTGTGATGTGATTGTCAAAAAAAAAAAAAAAAAAACTGATGGCTCTCTGGAATTTCTTTATAGAAGGCGAATCATTAAAAAAAATAAATAAATAAATAACCATAGTATAATTAATCCAGCCATGGTCTGAAGTATCTTCAACGACAACTGGAACCCTTATTGAATCACAGACGATGATGACAAGGACGACAAGATTGTTGCCTCATTTTCAATGGAGGCACTACTGCAATTATCACAATCTTCCTTGCTACTTGGTAATCTTTCAATGGTCCGTCTTAACTAAAATAAGTAAGGTTTAATTTTGGTCCCTGGACATAAGGAGAGGAAGGGAGGGAGAGAGAGATGGGAGAAGAGAGAGATCGCTGATCAAGTTTATTTAGACTGTTTTGGCCGATAAAAATCTATTAGATTTTTTTATCTTTGAGAGATGAGTTTGTTCATAATTGTTTCAAGTCATTAAACAATTAGAAGAGGTAGATCGGAGCCAAAAAAGAAAAAAAAGTTTCAATTGGATTGTGTATTTTTCTTTATTTTGTTGTACATTAAAATAATTTTTAAGGTATTAGATGTGTTTCTTGACTTTATTCCAATCATTTAGAGGTGTTTGGGGAAAAAAATGATGCTGGAATTCAATTTGTAAGGATCTAAAACTTGACCCTCGATTTTTTGGTGAAGATTACGACGAAATCGATTTCTTCGGAAGTTGCGGGTTTTTTTTTTCCAAGTGCACCAACCGGGCGCATGTCCTCCTCTCTATTTTTTTTCCTTTATATATATATATATATATATATATAAGAAGAAGAAGAAGAAAATGCGCGCGCGCACACACACACACATATATATAAAGGAAGGAAAAAGAAAGAATGTCTACCAAATAAAAAAAATTTGAAAAATATAAAAAATAAATCATTATTTTTTTAGTTTTGTGTACAGACTTGAAAATGATAGAATATATATATCTGATTATATTACTTTTATTATTTAAAATTATTTCTTCAATTATTTTTTTCTTATTAAAATTCTCATCAAATTAATTTTTTGATATAATTTTATTTGTTAACAAATTTAGTTTTTTAATATATGAATTTTGAAATAAATTTTAGAACGTCGGTGTTTTATTTTTTAAAAATATATTATTATAATTCATACAATAAATTATTTTTTTTCTTTTTAATGAGTTTTCTCTGTTTTTTTTTTTTTTTTGGTCCTTTTTTTCTTGTTTTTTAATCAAAAAAATTAAGAGAAATTTTTTTAAAAAAAATTACAAAATAAGTTTTTAGCTAAGAATCCATTGGTTTTGACATTTTTTATACCATTAAAAAAAATTAGTTTGTGAGTAGAATAAATAAATAATGTTCTTTAATAAAAAATTTATTAAAAATATAAAGAATAGTCGATCAACTACAAAATGTTGATAAAAAAATTATAAAGTTGAATGAATTTTTATTCATTTTTTATTTGATATTTTTTATAGACGCAAAATATAACATGGGCTATCAAAATAAAAAATTTTATGTATTTTATCCGATCCGTAACATAGCACGGGTAAAAAATCTAGTATGTATATAAAGGAAAAGCTTCGGTACATGCTGGCTTTGACTTTTTTTTTTTTAATTCAGCTTATAAGTGGATGTTACGAGAATTCATACAAATTGTATCTTATAAATATGATGTATCTTATAAATATGATGGACGATGAAGACTACGTTTCTTCTGCATAAAATATTTACACGGAAATGCTTTTCTTATTTTCCTTCGTTTGTTTATCGTATAAGATTTTACAGAACAATTGATCAATATTTTACGATCAATATTCAAACTTAATTTATTTGTTAAAAAAATATTTTCAAGTCATGAAATTTCATCAAATATTTTATGAATATTAATCATTTTACAAATATCTTCCAACAATTTTAACTACCACATCGCCACCCCCACCTCCAACATGGTTGCTTTCATTGCTAATACCAACACCATCACTCCTACTCTTACCACTATTGTCACCATTGTTTTCCTACCACTATAAATACTATCACCGCCTTAACTCTCCACTCCTACCATCATCGTCTTATTGTTACCATTATCACCACCACCACCCTTAACTCTTCACCACCATTGTCATTACTCCACCACCATCCTAACTCTTCACTACCATTGCCATTACTTCTCTATCACTACCATCCTACAACTATCACCATTGCTGCCATCTTAACTTTCTACAAGCATTCCCACTACTCTACCATTATCATTCTATTGCTACTACTATCAGTAGCACCCTAACTCTCCATCAGCATTGTCATTATTCAACCATCACTCCCCCTCCTCCCCAATCACCGTTACTATTATAACAATCACCATTATCTCATAATACATAATTATCGTTTTATTATTATTGTATTTTTTATATCATTATTTATCGAACGTTATAATTTTTTTATGTAACACGATTTAGAAGAAAGCATTTATATGTAAAAATATTTTTCCTTAGCTAATATTTGAATGAGCACAAAAAAAAAATGTTGCAATACCAAAATTTAAAAATAATAAAATAAA